ACACATCTGGGCGATACCGGTGTTGGGGCAACAGCTGAGAATATGCAAGCTGCATTTCTCAAGTTGTATATCTCAGGCCATCTGAGAAAAAAAGTAGTTGGTATTTGTGAAATAGAGGAATTGCAAAGGGAAAAGGTGATAACTCTAAGCAGATTTTAATAAAAATATGAATGGCTGAACTGGGCCATAGCAGAGCTCTAGAGAAGTTTTTTTAAATAAATATCCCACTTAAGCAATGGCCCATACAAAAAGAAAATTCCCCTGGTTGCATAGTTGCTCATGTTCTATTGTCACATTCCACCTTAGATGGGAAAATGTTTTAAATGGAATAAATGTTCTCAATTAAAATTCTACTTAGATTGATGATACCTCATAAAAAATGCAATTAAAAGTCCACTTTGATTACAGTACAAGATTACAAGTTCATGAAGGCAATTTTGAGGGCTTAAGTAAAACACAGTTCTAGCAGTTTAGATAAATACTAGCAGTTAGATAAATATTAATTACTTACCAATAGAATTTCACATTATTTCTCGGTCTTCTTTAACCAAGGCTATTTTATCCTTAATCAAGAAATATGGTATTAATGCTACTATACAAAATATAACTAAATGTTTGGATTGTGACGTACTCAGAATAGTTAGGAAAACAAAAAACAATACAGAGAAAAAAAAAAAAAAAAGAGCATAGAATTGCCGTGCACTAACATTGTGGGTCCCTGTTAGAAGAGCACCAGACCCACCTAGTGGAATTTTCCTTTATTACAATGACTCTAAAATGCCATCTTGTAAGCAGTATCACTATATATGCTGCTTGGTGGGAAAGTTAATATGTATTATTGTCACTGAATCACACAAGTCAGGGCTGGGGAGATTCCGATTAGGTTTCTGCCCTGTACTCCTGTTACGCAGGGCTGTTATTTTATTGTACGCTGGTTTTCATCTTCTTTAAATGTATCAAAGGATGACGTTTACACCGCTCATTTAAAGACACCTTTTCTTCTAACCTTTCATATGTCGTGAATATTTTTCCTGTAATCAATTTAAATGTGTCTTTTTAATGTAATCTTACTTTTTAAGAAACTGAATACACTACTCTGACAGCTTTCTAGTTTTAAACTTCAAACCTATAAAGTTCTGTCACATGCCTTCTGTAGCTGATAGTGGTATTGGCAACATTATTAAATTCTTTTACTGATATCTTTTAATTGGACTTCGTCAACTAACTGGTGAACATTTTCTTTCTTCTCTCAATTTGCTGAAGCACATACTAGTATCTTTCTGATGATATGTGCAAAAATGCACTAAAATGATGCACAGAAATATCAAGGGCACTCTAAAATACGTTTTCATAACATGCCTTTTTAAAACTGTAAGAACCTATTCAAACTAATTTGTATTTTAAACTAATCTCAGGAATACAGGCAGGAGTTGGTGATTCTGTGAGTATGGCTCCTCAGTTTTCAGCACATAGGAAAGCATAATCAAATGGGGTTTGTGCTATTTGAATGGGATTTATCTTTCCTGAATAAGAAACATAGGTCCCAGATAGAACATTTTTTAGAATTTAAAAAGGGAATAGGAAAATCTGAGCTTATTCTAGACTTTTTCAGGAAAATGGCATGTCAGAAAAATGAGGTTATTTGCAAGAGTGTGGATTTAAAAAGACATGGTAGAAGTTGTTCTCTTTTGTAACACAAATGACATAGAAGTAATGATACATGATGTTCCTAAGGAGTAGGCAGCATTTAGCAGTCTGGTACATCCAGTGGCTGTTAATGATAAAATGTGTTGATATACAATGGTGTGCTACAATAACTTTCTCAGAAAACACCAAGACTTTCCAGCATGTTCCTACAACTGAGAACAGGTTTCTAGGGGGAAACAGGTTTCATCTCAGAACTTTTGATACTGGGACTATTATTAATTATTCTTTTTACTAGACAACACATTTTTAAGTCAATAATTTCTATTGCATTTTCTCACATACAAAGCCATGTACAGATTTAGAGTGATATTTATCTTACAGCATATAAGATGTCCACAACAGAGACCTCAGTACTCACGTAAAGGTTCCTTTAATGAACAGAGAAAAATAGGCACCTTTAAGGTATGACTCATTTGATGTAATTGAAGCATTTGCTTTAGGACGAGATGAGTCATATCAGAGAAATGACTGCATATCTCCAATGATTATAGCAAGAAACTTGACATGTATCTCCTATGACTGAGTTGTAAATATGAATTTCACTGATACAGCCAGTGATTGAAATTTTATCCTTCATAGACCTCTCTTTTGCTAAAGTAGAATATAACATGTTCATTACAGGTCAAAGAAAGCACTAATGATTTCTTTCCAGTTGTCTGCAATTTCAAGTGATCATCTAGATAAGTAAAATAATCTTTCAAGATTTTCAAAATTTCAAACTTTTCTTTTCAGAACTGTGACACTGTTATGAAAAACAGTGTCTCTTTCTTGAGCCAACTCATTTTAGCAGAAATAAAAAAATCTGGAAAGTTTCCAGTATATCCATGATTGCATACTGTAGGACCAATTGTTGCAAAGAACTTAAAAATTAACACATGCATATGAAAAGCATAAGCTTTTCCAACAATGCAATGTCTTGCTCCCTTCCACCCACTTCATTAGTAGAATATATAAAATGACTAATTAATATAATGCACAGATGAAAGATACAGTTACAAATTTTGCCCACTGTTGTCCTTTATTTGGCAAAATTTTGTAAAGAAATGCTTTAAACTCTTTTCAGAAACTTGAAGCATTTCGAAATAGCTGATTAGATGATGCATGCTAAAATACCGACAGTGTGACTGAGGTTCCTTCTGTTTAGCCATGAGGAGAGAAACTGGTCGAGTTAAAGCTCTGTGAGAATACAAGTCTTGCTTATGCTGTAATACCATATGAAGACTGGCAAAAGAAAAGTCTTAAAAAATAAAAGCCAGGGGAGGGAGGACATAAGCAAATTAAACATAACACAAGCAGCAGATCAGGATACAGGATAAGTACATACTAAATTACATCATCGTATATTGCTTTGTATACAGCTTCACCTATCAGCTGAACACCTCAAAGTACTCTACTGCTACAGTCACTTGAGTACATGCATTTAAAACATTCTCAAAAGCCTCGTGGCAAGTAATGCACTGAACAAGCATGCTGGGTTACTTAAGTATCAGTAAGTTTTATGAGGAGATATAGAAAAACTCCAAAACTTTACAGACACACTGACACACACACACACTATGACACAGGTACCACCAAGCCAAGTTTTCAGGTGCTGGCAAGACAGCTTTGGTGAAAGTACTGAGGGTATAAGACCTCCACATGCATCCCAGAATGTACGTTGCACTGATCAGTGTTTATTCTTTATGTACGATGACAACTTACTCTCAGTACGACAACTAAACAGGTTAGGAACTCAGGTGGGAAACTCACATGAGAGTAAACAAAGCTCCAAAATGTTTTAATGGAAACTGCCCTTGTGATAAAAAGGATAAAGCAGAAAACAAAATGGAAGAGGAAAATAATTGATTTAACACAGTATTTTTTAAAGCCAAATGTCATCTAGCTTCTGAAATAAAGTATACTACTACTTCTTATTATTTTACAAGTTGCATGTAAAAACTCACTGTAGGTATTATCAGTAAAACTCACCCCTCTTACAATTCAATAAAATGATTTTGGCAGATACTTGGAAAGGTTTTTGTTCTGTTGTTTTTTGTTTTTACTTTCAAGACATCAGGAGGACATGACAAAGATTGAATCCGAGTACAAGATTTCAGATATTCAGAATTATGTTGGCTGTGATTCTGATGACAGATTTCAGTAAACACATTTCTGACTCTCTTATTCATTTCAATTTACCTTGACATTTTCATATATATTTCAGACCTTCTGAGTATAGTTAGTGTCTTTATAACTGCTACATGCAGAATCAAACAAAATAAGTGAGTTTTCAGGACCAAATAAAATTCTTCATTGTCCTGTTAAGGGGTCTGTGTTTAATTATGAGCATTATCTTCCCTGATTTCTTGTAGAAAACATCCAGTATCTCATTCCATACTTACACAGAAAAAAAGAATTAGGATAACACAAACAAATGGGAAGCTAAAATGCTGTTGCTTATGGAAATAGAACAAATTTTCAGCAATAAACACAAAAGCTCAATCATTTTGCTTAACAGCACATCCTGCAAAACACTGAGAGGGTTTTATCGTGGACACATTGGAATAATCTGTGTTAAATCCCTGGGGAAATGCAGAGGAGATAGCAGCCAGATTGCTTATCTTCTTTATCTGAATTCCAGTGACCATTAGAAATCTTGTGGTAAAAAGCTGAAGTACATTATATCAAAATCCACAGGAAAATATTTTGCCAAGAACCTCAGCTTAAATGAAATATCTAAAAAGAATCTTCTTTAGACTCATAAACTCTTTCTCCAAAGAATCTAAGCTCTTAAGCTCTCTCACATGAAGGTATTCTTGACACAAATCTTTCTTACTTGAAACAACTATACAATGTTTTATTTCTTCTATAATACATGACATGTATTGTCTTTCCTATTTTCTGTAAATAATCATTTTGATATCCATAATATTATATTGTTTATTAATAACACCATAAAATACTGAGAGAAACTATATTTTTTGATCATATACTCACTATCAAACTTTGAGGATGATTCTCTGATGCAAAGGCTCAGCAAGCTGATTTGACTAAAGGAAAACAGAAAAAACCTAATTTTGAAAATAATTTTAAATATTTGAAACTCTCTATGTATCTGTGTAGTCATTTGCTTTCACTTTAGATAGACATAAAATAAGGAATTTAATATTTTTTCTCTTTTATATGATACTTAGACACTCTGTGTTTGTTTCTTCTAGTTGTTCTTGCTAAGCCCATTGGCATCTAGTGGCACTTATTTCCCACTCTTGACATCTCATCCTTGCATAAAACTCCCTCATTTACTACAAACTCACCTCAGTTCTCAGTTTCCTCTTTCTCATGCTTCAGTTCTAGCAAATTTCCAAAGCCAACCACTCCATATGCTTAGAGGCATATTAAACTTCTGTAATTTATTTTTTTTTCCTGTCACGTTGTCACATCTTATGCTTCTGATTCCCAGGGAGCCAGAAATTAAGAAAAAAAAAAGATCACAGATCACTTCAGATAACCCAAGATAATTAACTTTTTTTTGGTGGATGTCAGGTACTATTGCTCCTGTATACTTTGCTATTAAAAACAGGTAAGAAGAATTATTTCTCCTTGTAAATTGTTGCTCAGCTTCAACCAAAGAAGCAGTGAAGATCTATCACTTCTCTTTAATAATGTAAATTTATGAACTAGCCTGGTGTTTTGCCATCCATTCTCCTTGGCTATGGCTTTGATACTTATCTATTGCTTATATAAATCTTACATAAATTTAACTCAGAAGACAGGATGCACAATCTACCCTGCAGTTGGTTATGCTCACTGAAAACACAGTAGAACCATATTGCGTGTGGGAACACAAATGTTTTAAATACTTAGCTCTGCATAATTCTTCCTCTTGTGCTTTATGTGTGCATGTGACTGCATATGCATTTCTTTGTGCTTTACTGAAGGGGAACGTATTTTAAAGAAAGGCAATACGACTTTTCAAGTAGATCACGCATGTGAAGAGGTGATGAAAAAATCCTTTTCATGATAGAGACTGAAAGACACCCTTTAGCAGCTCATCTGCAACTTCCCAAGAGGGTTAGTATTGAAATTATTGCTTTAAATGGTAGCATGAAGTCCAGACCCTGAGAAAATCACGATGGCCAGGTGCTTGGGCTGATGCCTCCAGAGTGATAAAAAATGATATCTGGAAAACTGATATATGTCCTTTACTGATCAGTGTGTTCATATAATCTGACTCTGGCTTAGATAGGTTCTGATCCAGCTTTCAACACACAAACAAAAGATTAACTAAGGTTTTTTCCAGTAGCTTCTGCCACTAGTGCATTTGAATCAGGTGCTTAGTTCATCAAAGAAAAAATCCACAGATAAAACATTTTAATAGATTTTGAAACTAACTTTCTGTTTTGAACCCCGTAAAATTAGAAAGAGCTCTCATTTTCTATTAACAGACTAAGACATTTGCAACAGTTACGCTGTAATTCATTATCTAACAACGTTTTGAATATCACTGCACAAAGAAATAAGTTTAACCGCATTTTCTCAACTTCTTTTTCAAATTATAGTAGTGAATTCAAATCTGTACACATACTAGTTTTGCATGAATACTGCATTCTTTAAAATAAGCAATGAATAAGAAAGTACAAACTCAGGTAGGAATATAAATCAGGAGTTAAATGTACCTAACCTTGCAATGTCTTGGTCATTATGAAAGGGATCACAAATACCTGCCAATAAGTAGGATGTAAACATTGGGGCTGCCATTATAACTGTAGATAATGGTATGTAATTTTAAAATAATACAGAATGAATATGACAGGTTTCTTAACACCATCAGCTACTAGAATTTTGCATTGTCTTTTATGAAAAGTGACCAAAATCTTAATCCTTTGAAAGTTAAAAACAGTGGACAAAAATCCTTGAAGATGACTCTTGGCTTTAGGCCTCAATAGAACCTTTTATAGTTAAGTAAATACTTCTCTTCCCCTCATTTTCATTGTGTTGAAAAATGTTGACCATACTTCTAGTAATAATCTTGGTGTAATACTTTTAAGTCTTTTTTTAAATCCAGGACCATATCTGTATGATACAAAGGCAGTGGACTGTAGAGATATCCAAGCTAGCTCTGAACAATGTGAGATGGGAGAATCAAGGAAAAGACCCAGGACAATGTTGCTGTCCTATTTCTGGCACATCAATCACACTGACAGGTCTATATGGCACAGCATTGCATTAGCTCTTACACCTGAGAATGTTAATAAAATCTGCTGTACAGGGAAAATATTTCTAAAATGTTTTTGATCTTCAGTATCTTTATAGCTAAAAGGAATGCCATTCAGTTCCCTTTACCTCTTACTATTAAAATCAGTTGTGCACAGAAGACAAATCATGCTAGCCAAGATCTGAAACACTCTTGGAAATTTTAATTGGAAATATCAACTCCTCATGATATCCTATAGAGCAATGTAGAAGTAGAAAAAAAAAGATTTTAAAACATTTAAAAGAAGAATGATTTCTCCTTTGCACACTGCTGAACAGGAGAGTTACTTGAAAAACACAGTGTTCTTTTAAAAGCATTAAATAATACTGCAGTCCTTGAAAACATTATGTAATAAATTCTGCAGCATTATTTCTTTACAAAAAGGGGATTTTTTTATGATTTTATATCACTTCAAATTTCTTTAAAGACAGAGGTATTGCTTTACAATGTTAACACAATTATGTTCTTGTTTGCTTTTATCTATCCTCAACTTGAATTGTTTTATATTGACCTTCAATCAACATAATCTGCATTTAAATGCCATATGCTAAAACTATGAGAGGTAGGTTTTGTAGGCAAAAAATGCAAACATTTGAAACAAGCAATTTATTCCAGCACAAGTATCACAAATATTGCCTAGGAAATAAAATTACAATACTCATAATGAAATAATTTTAGAGCAACTATCTTTTACTACAGTCCTAAGACTGCACATTTCAGAGGCCAAATTCAAAATAGGCTGTGTGTAAAATTTCTAAATTAATATCAGCTTTAAAAAAATAAAATAGAAATCCATTTTTTTGCTGGCTCATCGACACTGAAAAGGTTAAACTGGTAAAATATAACTTTTTTTTCAAGGCTCTTCTAAGCTACTGGAGGCAGAACAAGTTGTTGCCTAGGACAACAAAATATTTAGTGACTATTTTATCTGTTTTTGTAGAGAACTTGTGGGCTGGCAGAAGAGGTTATTTTCCAGTGATTGTAAAGGAAATAAGAAGTCTATTACACTCCCTGGAAAGGAGATCACATTCTAAAACTTGAAATATGAACCTTCTGATAGAACATTGAGATTTTAGACAGAAAATCAAATGATAAGGCAATTTATTTGCTCTCTGAATGGAGGGAGATTTTGTTAGGATACTTAAGAGTCAGTACTCTCTCTGGCAATTGGCAGGGCAGGTTGCTTTATAATGCAAGATAATTTTTTTATTAAATCAATCATTTGTCCTACCTAGTGTGTTACAGGACAAGAAAATGATCCTGCAGGTGGAATACAATAGATGCTAAAATTGCTCAGTTTGATTATTAGTACTAAAAATGGCTGCCAATCACTACCTGATTATAATTTGTTTGAAGAGATTGCGGAGGGGAGAGAAGGAAAGAAATAAAAGAGAAAAGGAGAGGGGGAAAGCTCTGGTTTTAAGAATTCAAAACCAAATGTTTGCCTCCGAAAAGAGGGAAAAGCGATTGTTAAAAAATCATACCATTTTGATAAGACTAAAATCCTTGTATTTAAAAATAAATGCAGGATATCAGAAACATTAAAAAATCTGCAAATTTCAATGGCTAGATGTACAGATCAAACATGGTTATTTTACTATCATTTTTAAATCAGGAAACGGTATTATTTTGTTATTGTCATAGCATAAGGAAATAACAGAATTAGGAAAATTACTTCAAAGTACTTTTATAATTTTATCTATTTAAATAACCTCTAGTGCAAAATGACACTTGATGGATTACAAAAGAATCATTATACTATCAAAAAAATAAATGTCATTACATCGTTCACAGAGCAAATGTTTCCTCTTTCTTTCTTTCTTTCTTTCTTTCTTTCTTTACCATGTTGTATTGTGATAAAACGCTGTATTTGAACTAAAAGATTTGTTTTTCCTCCCACTTCTCCGGAGTCTGTGCCCTGACATGATCCAAGGTGGGAGTGGGAAGAGGTAAACAGTAGATGGTTAAAAAAATTGCCATGGTTTATGTCATCTCCTGCAAGTAACAGTATAGAGGAAAGAGAATGATGCATTTAAAGATATTTCCATTAGCATAACGAACAGATGGAAGTTTACACATCAAATCACTCAAAGGATGTAAGATCACTACCTATGCAAAATGTTAAACATGTTATGAAGTTAAAATATTGGCACATGGATTTGTTGAGGATACAAGCTTTCAACGAGATTTCTAGAAACAGCCACTGCAATACTACAAAATAACAACAGTTTCTAAATTATAAGTAACATCCATAGTACTTTAGGAACTGCGTGACTAATGGAGCTGCTACCAGTATTCAAAGCAGAAAGAATCTGACTGCAGAATAATTTTCAAATGCCAGATTCAAAGGAAAAAATTCACTATATGATTACAATTTGTAAGTATTTAATTACTGCAAAAGAAACACAGATATGCATTATTTAAACCCTTCTGAGACCTCTGTGAGTGTCCTGGATGAAAGAAATCTACACAAGTACTGTGTATGGGCAAAACTGCTGTTTGTATAACACCTCGTAACGTTTTTTGTAAATGCAATGAACCTACTGATCCAGTTTCAAAGGCAAACAGAGTATTTTGGACAGTTACCCTTTGTATTTGCAACCATAGTAGCTAACACATATTAATATAATCTCATTTGTCACACTGTTCTACTAACGCAGGAGCAAGTGAACAAATCCATATACATATCTTACCTCATGAAGAAATAATGCATCATGATGAAAGCTATTCAGTTCCATACTGATCTTCAGAGTTTGTGATGTGAAGCATATGAACAACTATCCTGTTGTCAAAGGAATGCTTAATATTCGGTTCTATATTTATATGAATTAGGATAGTTTCGCAAACAGATGAGCCAAAGAATTTGAAATGATACTGAAAGTTTCCTTCATATTTCCTCAAATCAATCACAGCTGTGCATGAACCATTTCAAAATTGTAATTATTTAATACAAAAATCACCACAAATGTAGCAGAAAAGGTTTTCTGAAATGTCTTAGTGCATCTTATAAATAGACTGCTACTTTACTAATGGGTGAGAAGACCCAAAGTTCAGTGTGCCTGGCGGAGAATTTCAAAGACTCCTGTAAAACTTTCAAAGGCTAGAAATCTTTTATCCTCAGTAAAACAGGCACATTTGTTTTTACTGTATGTCAAGGGCATCCTCAAGCATTTTATGCTATCTAGGAACTCTGAAATACAAGGCTTCTGGTTTTGCACCAGTACATCAACACGGTTGTCTTGAAAGAAGTATTGGTTCACATAAATTATCTTCCAGTACTTAATTAAGTACCCTAGGAATATGGTCCTGAATGTTTGTAAAGAGTGAACAAAGAAAAGTTCCTACAGAAAATTTTCTACACTCAACAACTGTATTTTTAATAACAAAATAACGAGATATTTTTAATAACAAAATATCTAGCAACTTGAGATCCCACAGCGTATTGCTAATGCAGCCTCATGGTCTTGAAAGTTCTTCTGATCATCAAAACTGTTTGAGCCATTTAGAAAGCAACTACAGGAAGAGCTATGGGCATCTTTATCAGTCAGAAGTATCTCTGGTAGATCAGGAAGGACTGTGACTCCAAGCACTCTTAGTTCCTTCCAGTCATATGACATCTAGCAAGAGGCTCTGTGGTAGAGAGGAAAAGGAACAGGAATTGTAATTCTGCAGTCACAGTGTCTAAGAATATGTTATTGAGATGTAATGTTTCATACCTTTCCATAAACTGCAGAGCGGCATGCTTGGGAAATTAGGTAACAACGAGAGAAGAGCCACAGAGTAATTTTTTCAAACAGAATCTGAAGGACAGCCCTCCTAAGAAAAAGGTATCTTTTCATGCTACATAGCATGGGAAATTAAGCTGTCAAGTGAGCACTGTACAAAATCCATCCAATTGGTGTGCACCACCCAATAAAATTGTGGAGTTACTATCTGCTTTGCTGGAGTAGATGAGAGGGCTGCAAAGTGAGAGACTAATCTGATCAAGGAATCTGAATGCAGTATGCGGTTCATATTTAAGTTCTTTAAGCAGAGACTGTAAGTTGTATGGACGTGGTAGGTGTATTAGTTAGCTAAGGCCTCATGAGAGCTTTGGAAACTAAGCTGGACGCAGTGGTTTCTAGTACTTAGATCTATAGGCTCAAGCTACATATGTATATAAAGGAACTCTGACTTTGAAATTAGACAGGTATCACTGGCACTCTGCAACTGTATTGGAGCTGTAGAGAGAAAGACCAGAGAGATACAAAACAAGGATTTCTGGAAGCATGAAACTGCTAAATGAAGTAAGACTCTTCAGTTTGCAAATGAGATATCTGAAAGGAGAAATTATAAAAGTGTGTAAAATGAACCACAGCATAGAAAAAATAAATAGAGAAGGAATTCAAGGATGAATTTGCTGAACTGCTAGCAATGATGTATAACTTTTCCCTTAAAAACTTGTTATTTGAGGACTGGAGAGTGACAAAATTGATGCAAATTTTTGCAAACAGTTTCATGGAAGATTCATGGAAATACTGGCCTATATGCCTGTCCCAGGTAAAATAGTAGGAATACGAAAATGCACACGTGGATAAATACAACAAGGAAGAGTTAAAGTGACTGCATGTAAGGATGCTTCATATCTCAAGAGCCTATCAGTGTTCTTTAAAACAGTCAAAATTACATAGAGAAGGTTAATGATCTGCTTGTTTGCCTGAATGCCTAAAGTCTTCTGATGAAGCCACTCTTAAAGGCTTTAAAAAAAAAAACAACAAACCACAAAACAGCAGTTACAACATTAAGCCATAAGAAAAGGTTGTGTCATGGAGAAACAGCTGGTTAAACCAGGAAACTGCAAGAGAAAATGCAGTTTTCAAAGTGGAAGAAGGTTCCTAGTGAACTCATGAAGAGATCTGTG